GGAGCCCGATGCGGGACTCGATCCCGGGACTCCAGGATCATGACCTGAGCCGAAGGCAGTCGCTTAACCGACTGAGCCACCCAGGCGCCCCTTGAGTTTATTTTTGTATATGCTGTGAGAAAGAGGTCCAGTTTCATTCCTTTGCATGTATCTGACCACTTTTCCCAACACCATTTGTTGAAGAAACTGTCTTTTCACCATTGGATATTCTTTCATGCTATGTTGAAGATTAACCAACCATATAATTGTAGGTTTATTTCTGGGTTTTCTATTCTGTTCTATTGATGGATGTATCTTTTTTTGTGCCAGGACCATACTGTTTTGATTACCACAGCTTTGTAATGTAACTTTAAGTCTGGAATTGTGATACCGCCAGCTTTGCTTTTCTTTTTCAAAATTGCTTTGGCTATTTGGGGTCTTTGGTGGTTTCATGCAAATTTTAGGATTGTTTGTTTTAGTTCTGTGAAAAAAGCTATTGCATTAAATCTATAGATTGTTTTGGGTAGTATAGACATTTTAACAATATTTGTCTTCCAATCCATGAGCATGGAATGTCTTTCTATTTCTTTGTGTTGTCTTGGATTTCTTTCATTGGTGTTTTATAGTTTTCAGACTATAGGTCTTTCTTTGGTTAGGTTTATTCCTAGGTATCTTATTATTTTGGTGTAATTGTAAATGGGATTGTTTTTTTAATTTCTCTTTCTGCTGCTTAATAATTAGTGTATAGAAATGCAACAGATTGCTGTATGTTGATTTTGTATTGAGGATAGACTCTCCAGGACAAGGAAAGAAAATGGGGATTAATTAAGAGACTCGTGCTTTAAGCTGATGAAAGATAACTGTGTTGGGCCAGGTGTGGAACAGGCAAGAAGAGGGAACCAGTAGAACTTGGTTTTGATACAGAGTGTAAGAGAGAAGTCAAAGGTAACTTCAGAATTTTTGGTCTGAGTGTAGTATATCTCATACCCAAAAATTAACTCAAAATTTACCATAGATCCATGTATAAAATTATAAAACTTTTAGAAAAAAACACAGAAGAAAATCTTTATGACCCTTGGGTAGGTAAAGAGTTCTTAAACATGACACCAAAAGCATGATTCATAAAATAAAAGTTCTATACATTGGACTTCATCAGAATTAAAAATTTTGCTCTGTGAAAGACACCATTCAGAAAATGAAAATAGAGATGTCATGATCCCAGGGTCCTGAGATTGAGCCCCACTTCGGGCTCCCTGCTCAGTGGAGAGTCTTCTTCTCCCTCTGCCTGCCACACCCCCTGCTTGTGCGCACTCTCTCTCTGTCAAATAAATAAATAAAATCTTAAAAAAATGAAAATAAAGTGACAGTATGGGGAAAATCATTTACAAATTACATATCCCAAAAGGATATTTATGTATGTGTACACACACACAGACACATACTCTTTAAACTCAACAGGAAGAAAACAGACAAGTTTGAAAATGAGAAAAAGATTTGAACAGATACTCCCACAAAAAATGGCAAATAAGCACATGGGAAGATGCTTAACATCATTAGCCACTAGGGAAATGCAAATTAAAGCCACTATGAGATGCTACAGTGTATGTATTAGAATGTCTAAAATAAAAAATACAGGCAATAGTAAGTGCTGATAAGGACGTGAAGAACTGGGTCTCATACATTGTTGACAAGAATGTAAAATGGCATGGCTACTCTGGAAAACAGTTTGGCAGTTTCTTTCTTTCTTTCTTGTTGTTTTTTGTTTTTATTTAAATTCAATTAATAAACATATAATGTATTATTAGTTTCAGAGGTAGAGGTCAGTGATTCATCAGTTGCAGAGAACACCCAGTGCTCATTATATCAAGTGCCCTCCTCAGTGCCTATCACCTGGTTACCCCATCCCCCCACCCACCTCCACTCCAGCAACCCTCAGTTTGTTTCCTATGCTTAAAAGGCTCTTAGGGTTTGTCTCCCTCTCTGATTTCTTCTTGTTTTATTTTTTCCTCTCTTCCCCTATGATCTTGTGTTTTGTTTCTTAAATTCCACATGTCAGCGAGATCATATGATAATTGTCTTTCTCTGCTTGACTTATTTCGCTTAGCATAACACCCTCTAGTTCCATCGTTGCAAATGGCAAGATTTCATTTTTTTGATGGCTGAGTAGTATTCCATTATATATATACACCACATCTTCTTTTTTTTTTTTTTAAAGATTTTATTTATTTATTTGAGAGAGAGAATGAGATAGAGAGAGCATGAGAGTGGGGAGGGTCAGAGGGAGAA